TAAAAAAAAATATTCAGAATTTAAAAAATAATTTCGTGAAGTTTGTTTACATTAAAAATATTTTCGTTGTAATAATAAAAAGGCGTAAAATATTTTTTTTTATTTTAAATTGGAATTTAATTAAAAATATTAAGGAGCACTTCAATCAAAAATTTGACATTATTCTGAATTTTGTGATTATTGTAAAGTAAACCTTGATAAGTGAATCATTTCGTTTATTTAAAGCAGAATTTTATGTTATATTAAATCATCATCATCACATCAATTACTTGTACTCTTGTATAATGATATTGGAAATATTCAATTACATATATGTGGTAATCAAATTGCATTAATCGTATATTTATAAGATACTTAAATTCCTTATTGTTAAAATTTAATGTCTTTTGATTATGTTATATGCAATTTGTTGTTCAGTAGCAGAAAAAGTAACCTACTGTAAACAGAACATAACCGACAGCATTTTGTATTTTCTGAATAATAGTACTTTTAACAAATATTCTTTTATTAGTTTACTTGATACATTGCACAAAACTATTAATATGTCCTTTAAAAATTTCTTTCAAGTTCAATAAAAACTTAACCTTTTAGTTAATGTTCCTAAAAAAATTTAAATTTGATTTTTTGATCTGATTTTCTCTATAGTTTTACTGTTATTTTCGTTAACAAACGAATTTCAATTATTGAATATTAAAAATTTCCATTCAGTAGTTCCGAAATTCGATATAAGTAATAGGAAATTTTGTGGTATTCCAATACCTCCTCTATTGCGTATATAATTTGGTCAGTAAAAATAAAAATTTTCCACAATTGAAAATTTATACTTTATATTGGAGTTATTACATAAATTGATTGTCCTTTTTTAGCTACATATTTTTCCCTGAAGGCTCTCTTAAGCCCTTCAGCTCCTTTAATTAATATAGATTCTTTTATATACCAGTAGATGTTTTCAAAAATTTAAAAAAAAAAACAAACACTTCTATTATATTTCAGGAGTTTCTATATTGTTTAAAACCCATTTTGATTTTTAATTCATTAAGGAGATTTTAACCGCATCTTAGGTCTATGCAATAAATCATTTTAATTAAAATACATTATTTATAGAAATAGTTTTTTTTTTTCAATTTTCAGAACCTCGTTGGTCGCTTATAATTTTTAATTTGAATTTGAATTTTTAATTAAAAATTTCATCAAAAACATGTCTTGATTTATATGAAAATTTCGTTGATCCCAGAGTTCTTCACTTATACTACATGTAATGATTTTGAATTCTTATTCTTTTAAATCAAAACAAAAAGAATGAATGGCTGACCAATTAACCCATATTTGAGAAAATATATTGTATTCATGTATATATGTGATCTTTTGAAATCAATAAGGAAAGTAATTGTTATTATACTCGTATGCACACTTATATATGTACATATGAGCATATAAAACTAATGCTAACAAGATTTATTATTCTCATGATATGACCAAATTATATTTATGACTTTATAACAATAATTTTTAATTGCTAATAAAATAGAATTTTAAAGGGAATACGAGCAAGAAGATATTTAGAAAAAAATTGCGGTGGTATATTTTTAAAATGAGTTATTTCGAACCAAACCTTATCAAAATAGTTCACACAATCCTGGATAAAAGAAAAACCCTTTTGCAAGTAAAATTATTTTTAGATTCTCTTAAATTTACTAAATATATTAGAATTTGTAAAATTCTAGTTTAAAAAATTAAATGCCATAAATATAAATTAATTATAATATAAAATTCAATTTTGTTTATGATTGGTTTAGCTGCATTTATTAAGAAACATCAAAGATTTTGTGTACGGTTCGATTCTTAAAATAAGTCAAATACCTCCAAGTAAAACAAAAATGTTTGTCCATTACAATGCCTGTTATTAAAGTTCATCATATTTGATTTTGTTAAACTAATTTACTAAAATCATTTCAGTTTTAGTACAGACTTCAACTCCAAATGAAATATGTGTTTACCTTTACACGCGTGTACCTATAAAAGATCTTAAAAATAATTAATTTTAACTTTTGAAATATTTTTTAAATTACTATTGTACTTAATTTTTTCTTATTTATTATTCAGAAAATGTCCAAAAAAATAAAGATTTCATAAACAAATTTAGAAATAATTAAATTCATTTTAAATAAAAATCAGCACGAATTAAAATATTAATTTATAAAATTTAGCATAAAAATATGAATGGAATCAAACCAATAAATAAATTAAAGAATTTGAAATCTACTTTTTTTTAATGAAAAACTGTAAACACATTACATGACTTTATTTATTACATTAATCGAATCACTATGACTTAAATTTTTTTTTATAATAAAAGACATAAATATAATTTACATAAAAAATACTTAAAATCTACAAATTAGTATAACATTCATTGAATATTTAGAAACAGGGTGTAGCGAGCTTTTGATCAATGATTAAGAGAGTAGAACAGTTGTTTTCACTAGAACTTTTAAACGAAATTTGAAATAATTTAAACAATTTTGGGTATTATTCAAAATTTCTGAAATAAAATTTGAAGAATTCATAAGTTTTTACAGAAAACCTTTTTTATTGGAAGAGAAACCGCATTAAAATTGAGCTTTAAATAGGGACACAATTCAGGTTTAAAAATAGAAAATCAACTCAGTATAGTCTTTTGGAATTTGAGGAATCCTTTGTGGCAACGTGCCATTCAAAACGCGGTATCCATTAAATCAAATGCTGCATTTAAGAGGATATGAGTAAATTTTGATTTAAAGTCATTAGGTTTATCGTAAGAAAGAAAATTACTTGCGAACTTAACAATATTTTTTACAGTATAAAAATTTTAGACCGATATAACGCTGTAAAAGCATTTATTTTAAAAAAAAAATCTATAAAATTTAAATTATTATTATTGATCGATAATTAACTGGTAACCAATAAATTTTCAATTAACACGTTGTTCAATGAGAAAGAAACGAAAAAATTAGAAAAACAAAAATTTGAAAATTTAAATTTTTCCAAAGTAAAAAAAGATCATTAATAAAAGAAATTTTTTTTTCTTATTTTTAATTTTAAAATGTTGCTAATGAACTGAAAAATTGCCATACTTAAGACACAGGTTTCACAAATTTTAGTTTTAAGAATTTGTAATTTAAATGATAACATAATATAAAATATTGCGTAGATGAAAACTGCATTGCACTGATCTCACTTATTTGTTTATGACAGAAATATTTTTGTGGCTATAAAATGAAACATAAAATAAAAATTTCTAATTTAAAGGAAATATTTTAGAGGTGGAAGTGCAGTAGAAGTTACTGTAAGCAAAATTAGTGTTTTGCCTTAAAATTGATATTAAGGTAGTTGAGATGAGACTGGAATGAAATATATACGTATAGTCTATGAATTGACTATGGCACTATATAAATTATAGTATAGACTATACTATAGACTATATTAGTGTATAGTCTATGAAAAAGATCGGTTGAAAATTTTTGCTTTTCTTTATTATGCCATTTGTTTTTAGTTTTTTCATTTTCATTCTCTTAAATTTCAATGCTTGTTAAAGTTCTGCAACATTTTTACTCAACATAGTCTTTCATATTGATAAATTTAACGAAACACATGTTATTTTTCGATATTTTTCTGTTGAAAACCTGTTGTTTTTGCTATTCATTCAAAATTCTCTTTAAAATATAATCAAGTTAATTAATATAATTGAAAAACTTTCTCTTTAATAAAATTTTGTTCTCTTTTGTTCACAGTGAAATACGATGTTTTATATTGTATAAGGCAGGCACATGTTTTATCTGTACCTATATATGCGTTATAAACATACTTTAACAGTAAAATATTTTGTAAAAATGTAAAGCTATGTAGAGTTGGCTGACCATTTTTAAACATTCAATTCCAGTACATTTTATATTTTAGAAAAAAATTATGTAATAAGTATGGTATTCACGGTAATAGAACTGATGAAAAATATCAGCAGCATTAAAATTAACAAAAAAGTTATCTAATAAGCGATTACAACTCTGTAACTAAAATACGCTCTTACCTAAACTAAAATACTTTTCAAGCAAATTAACTTTATTCGAAATTTGTTCTTCTTTCAAAATTTTCTTAATTAGTAAAAATTTTTGTTTGGAAGTTTTGCATTATAGCCCCGGAAAAATAAAACAAAAATTTAACAACATTTACGTAAATATTTTCTAATATTTTGTTGTTATCTCATGCATTGTCCTTCTTTTCTCTATTGTATCTTTCGATAATGTCAAATATTGTGTTGTGGCAACCAAAATAAAACTATAAGAGTTGAAAACTAGCGCTCAAATTGAAAACTTGTTTTTTATATCGTCATTAAAAAAAAAACCAGTACAAATTTTTAGAGAATATTAATCAGTATATTATAGTCCTCAAAATCAGTACGGTATACAGAATGGTACAGAATGGTCAGCCTAACAACAAATATAATAGCAAGCTTTTACTCTTTTCAAACCGGTATATTTATTTATCACAGAAATCATATCAGAAATTGAGAGTATCAAAACATGTGCAATAAAAATTTGTAGTAAATAGTAAACAAAATACAAAATAATTGGTGATAGTAAGCCGTTTTCGTTTTTTTTTTTTATGTGACTGACTAACTATAGCTGACTTAATTATCTTAAATTTGTAAATATTTTATACGTCGCGGCGTGGCTTATTATATTAATACTCGTATAATAATGTTGCTGGCGTTCGGCTTTGTGTATACACATTGTATTTATAAATTTATAAAGCTACATAAAAAATGTGTCTACATACACAACACAATGTGAATGCAAGCAAGTAAGTAAATTTACCTCAATAAATTCATCTTCTCTCGGTGCAAAATTAACTCCAATACAATATTATGTACATATATTTTACTTGACCGGTGTTTTCTTGTTTTGATACTTTTGTAATTGTAATTTTGAATTAAAGAAACAGTCAACATCGAGATTTCGTGCGTATTGGTTGTAAAAAGCGGATAAAAAAGACGCAAAATTTTATAAAAAGGTGTACTGATTGTATTTTTTTTTTATTTTGGGGAACATAAGTAAAAAAAACAGAAGAAAAAAATAATATAAAATAAAAAAAAGTATTTTCTTTGCCAAAACTTTAATAATTATTGTGGATACAATTTGCAATTTATTGGGGGAGCACAAAATTTAATATTGAAAAAAAAGAAGGAAAAACTTGTACTAAAAGTTAAAAAAAATAAATTATGTGTGTGTGCGTGCCATAGTCAATTCAATAGAAAATTAATAAAATAAATTTGAATAGGTGAAATTAAAGTTGGAAAGAAAAATTTTTACGAAATTTTATGAAATAAAGAAAAAATTATTTTGAAAATTTTATCATTTCAATAATAAAATTTAATTGAAAAATAAAATTAAATAAAACTTTAAAGATTAAAGGAGTCAAAAAAAAATTAAATTTGTATTTGAGATAAAAAAACCTGTAAAATTTTAACATCGTAATTTTCAAATTTTTATTCATTTTAAGTTTTGTAAAATTTTGTGCGTTATTTTAATGTTAAATGTATTTATAACATCTATATATACAATATACATATTTATGAGTACAGTGAGTAACTGAAAAAGATGTTATCGTTTTGTCCATTAGGATTTCTATAATTACATTTGAGTTTCTAGTCTTTATTCATCCCTTGTACCCAATAATAATAATAATAATACTAATTTTGTAATATTTTTATATTTTTTTTCCTTTTTTTTTATAGAAACTACAAAGGAAAAAAATTAATTAGAAATTCAAATAGAGCGTATAAGAATAAAAAGAAAATTTGCATTTTTTTTTTCATTTTGTGCTCTTAAAATGATTTTTTCTTAATTGAATTACAGAAGAAGAACGAGGAAAATTATAAACGGAAAGCAACTTAATTTGTAGAAGATATTGTACGATAATATTGCAAATACTCACCTATATACATACATACATATAAATCATCATAATTAGAAATGCTTAAAATATTCAAATACACACTGCGTATAATTTGAATAATTAACAGATTAAAAATAATTGTTAAATTTTAATTAAAGTTGAAAGCTGATTGAAATAATTCAAATGTTAAAGATTTTTAGTTTAACAAAGATTCCTGTAAGGAAATTATACGAAATGAAATTATATTAATATTTTAGTTTTATGCACTATGCATTACTCTGGAAATATATGTATATAGAATGAATTAAAATGTAGAACTATACAGAAGAATTTGCGTTTACATTCCAATAAATTCTCTATTAATATTTAAATACTATGTTGAAAACTGAAGATATCTACTGGTCCTTGCAATCTTACGATCAAATGTACAAGTTTGTTTCATTGAAAAACTTTATTATTTATTAAATTAATCATAAAATTTGAAGTTACAAAATTAAAGTTTTGTACTCATATAAGGCAATTTAATAATTTTTAGAAATTTTTAAGTGGGTATAAAATATACAATTTAAAGTACATACTTATATTACTTGTCGTGTTAAATCATTATTTTTGAATTTATAATTCAATAATATTACTTACATTAAAATTAAGTTATAATCTAATATATCAATTTAATTAGGAACTAATGAGGATTATAGTTCTTTCAATTTAGAAAAATGATATGCGTACTTATTAAAGATATTAAAAATTGCCCAGCTGTTGACTATATTGGATTAATTACATTATTTTTTAAGATTTGAATTATTTTAAAGTGGATGTTGTGAATTTTTAGTTGATTTTTACAATGCATTTGCCCCTCAATTTACTCTGCAAATTAATTCAACATTGCGGTATAAATTTTTCGAAAACTCAAAAGCTACAGTGTTATTTTGGCTTTCAAACTTATTATTATTAAGTACATACTTACGTTATGTGTATAAAAGATTCTTGTTGAGTTTATTAATTTTTCCCATATTTCTCTAACGTGGTTTTAAAAATTTTCTATTAAGTACTCAGAATTGCATTTATACTCATAAGTAATGAGGTTTATTGATTTAATAGTAAAAGTAATATTGTTAAGTCAGGCCTTTAATTAGTGAACAATATTTATGTAAGTATTTCGTCAAATTGCTCTATTTTGTCGACAGTAAAAGTGGAAATATGTTAGAAATCTTAAACTTAACTTTTATTATTAAAGTAAACTTTTTATTAACGAATATTAATTCTGTTGGAACAAAATAATATAAGTAAGGGCAAACTTTTTTAATCTGTTAGAAAACTGTTATAATTTGGTTATTTTATAACATTAGGTAATACTTATAAGTATATATACAAGTAATGAAAACATTGAAAATTATTATTCAATTGAATTTCAAATTATAGAAAAAAGTTACAAATTTTCATTTTCATTTTGGAGGTTTTTCATGACCGTTTCGCATCTGAATTTGTTGAGATTTTTCTGTTTCTGTTTTCATTTTTTTCATTTTAGTTTTATTAAGTATTCTTGTTGTTATAAAATGGATATTTGAATTTTTTGTTTTTATTTTTTCATTTTTTTGGAAAAACCTGTTCAGGTGTGTTAATTTTTTGTTTTTATTTATCTCTTAACTGTGTTTGTATATATATACGAATGTTTTTCGATTAATTTTGTTGATTTTTTTTCACTCATTTCATTTTTACTTTCGGTTTTATTCAATAGTCAGTCGTAAATTTTGGTTTTCTTTTTAAAATATTATTGTGGCTCACTCTATTTCCAAATTTAGTTATTAAAATACATAAGTAGCTAGTACTCGTATATAATTTTGGAATCTGTTTAATTTTTTCTGCAACAATATTTATTTTTTATTATTTACTTTGATTTTATAAATAACAGTGTATATATATACATAGAAAAGTAAATAATACAAATTGTAATTGTATAAAAGTTTTTTATTATGTGTGTTTTGCTTTGCTAACAACAGCTGGTTGTTGAAGCTAAAAAATTAGTTACTGATAAAATTTTATGATTACTTGTTAGTTTAGTAACGTGTATGTAGTAATTGACGAATACTGCATTTGTTTTGGTTTTCGATTTGTCTTTTAACTGTGTTTTTTATTTACTAACTGGATGTTGTAGCATTAAATTTGGAAATTATGAAGTATGCGAAATATACATTTTGCAGTTAAATATAACTTAAAATTATCAATAAATAGAGTATGGTTAATAGAGTAGTAAAATACATTAAAAAAAGTTTTTATATGTTGATATAGTAATAATGAAAAGGTTAATTATGTCACATTGTGTTTTGATTATTAATTTATTTATAATGACTATATTTTTAAAATAATTTTTGTTAAAAAAAATTAACAAATATATAGCAAATATATATGTGTTTACAATTTCAATGTAATTTTTCTGAAATATATTATTATTTGTTAAGTAATAAATCTCTCAATGTGAGGTGCTCGCATTTTAGCTACCGCGCACGTATATGTGACTATTTTAGCTACTATTATAAATTAATCAGTAATGTAAGCTTTGAAATTAATACAATTCAAACATGTGTTTCTGATAAAAATCTAAAAGTATCTACTTATTTCAGGAATTAATACTAATTCATACTAAGTTTTATGCTACATATTTCATATACCTGCATTATATTCATAATTTTATAGTTTTGTTGAAGTACATTTTTAGGTTTTCCAATTTTGTAATCATTAAAATTTTCTGCCAAATTATTATAATATTTAAAAGTTTAGGTATACTTACTTAGTGACAATTTAACTTGCTTACATTATTCTTTATTTATTTAAAATTACCCAGAATAAAATTCTATGATGCGGAAATTTATTCCGAGTAATTTTTGTATATATGTGCGTATTTAAGATTTTTTGCTACCTTTACCCATCATAATGTCTTGATTTACAAGTTAATATTTCATTGATATCTTAAGAGCTAGAATTCTGTAGTACTCAAAAATTAACTTGATTTGAGCTTTGTGTTGGTGTTCGAGTAAATTATATATCTAGTTTATCTATTGTAAATTTGTAATTTAATATGTAACAGAGCACATTATTTGAGGTACCTAAAAAATATTATTAAAATACCTAAAAAATATTATGAGGTACCTAAAAATATAATTAATTGCATTTCAGAAACTTTAAACTAAGTTGACGAATTGTAAATTAAGTAAATAAATTGAAGATTTTTATCTTCAACTGATTTAATATTTATTAATTATATTAATTAATATTCTGTATTCAATAATCAATTAATATTATTAAACATAAGTATAACGTACTTATCGACATTGAATTATTACATTATAACATTGTTGCATGTAGACCCCAAATTTGTAGTTTGAAAATTATTAAGTTTTATAACTTTTGTAACTTATAAGTAATTTGAAACCAAATTGTTACTTTTGAATTACATTTACTTACTAAAATATAATTAATTAGATAGCACTATCAGATAGCTATATATGTACATGGTATTTTACCATATCTTACAAAGTATGATAAAAAGACATCAAGATTTTAGACAATTAAAATTTAAAATTTTCAAAAAATTTGAAATTTTGTTAGAAAAAATTTCAAAAGTTTTTTTAATAATCGTGAAATATGCAGTCGCAGTTTTTTAGTGTTTGTTTTAATTTTATTTTTAAAATTTTTTTATTTTATATTTTTTTGCAATTTCTACATAAGCATTTCAAACTATATGATCGGCATTTCAAGGTGAACTTGATTGCGTAAAAATAAATAAATGTGAATTAAAAAATGAAATTAAATTTATACTTATATTTAATATATACATATGCATGTATGTAAACAAAAAATAGACAAAAATTGTAATTCAATTGGATGTATATAGAAATTTTCACATAAGTATGTAATTTTACGTTAAGAACGTTATATATTTAATAAATACTTACATATATACATAATATTTCAAGAAACTATAGTTTGTTGTATTATACATAAATTATAGGTTAAATATTGTTAATGTCTAACAATATAATGCTTAAGTATAGTTCAAAATTTTAGCCAAAAATGTTAGTGCTAAAATTGGATTTAATTAAATAAAAATTAAATTCAATTGGTATCGCTTCTATATTTAATTAAATAGTTATGTAGCATAATATATAGAGTACTTTGAATAAGTGCATACATACATATATATATATATAAAATGTATAAAATATATTATGTACATAAATACTGAATCTTTCGTGGTAAGCATACATTAAAAGTATATATCAAATTTTATGCAGAAATTTATGTTTTTTTTAAACAAATTTCGAACTTATTTTTTACTTAAAAAAAATTTATTTTTTGCGAATATCTTCTGCGACAATTGAATTTGAAAATTCAATTTTCGAACAAGTAATCCATAAATTGTCCCAGAAGCTAAACTAATAGAAACAAAAATTCATGCTAATGAGAAGGGATTTCAAATAACAAAATTGTGTAAATTTTAGCACTTTTTCCAACAAGTTTTCTTTAATTGTTTCAGAGAAAACGTGTTAAAATATAAAGGTACGTAATTAGATATTC